GAAGCATTAACGGGTGGAGTGAGGAGCTGGAACATTGGCAAATGTATTTAATACCTACCACACAGTTGCTGTGTATCAATATTCATCAGATCTAACCACCAATAATCATAAAAATGACAGACCATATTTACGGCCTTTGGTCTGTGAATGTACGTCAGTGCAAAGGGACACAGTAAAAAAATATTAATATGCAAGAGTGAAAGCCTCTTGGTTTTTTGCAGTGAATCATTGTGATTTTACAGATACAGCAAAGAATTGGGCATTAGTGTTTGATAAAGCATTAGGGCTTTGGACAGATGCAAGAGAGTTGTAAAATCTGATATTAATTAGGAAATAGACCAAATGGGGGGCTCTGGGGAGTACTAGTGATGAGGCTTTTTATAGGCTGCAGGCAGCATTTTTTTCTTCAGCGCCCAAGGGGTTAACCTCTACTCCTCTTTCCTTTTCAAGGACAATAAATGGGCTCCCTGAGAGCTAGAAAAGGGAAAATGCCTTTGAGGAGGTCATGTGCCACACCTTGAGTTCATTGGGTTAAAGGTGAAGCACAGGCTAGGGGAGTTATATGGTCTGAGCTTATTTCAATTTCTGGTTGTAAACCTTAGCCTTTGAGGAGAATTCCTTGCTAACTGTACCTGAGGGATTTTGCTACTCAGTTTTTCCATTAGCTTACATGGATCCTGGAACCACAGCTGTTGTAGCTCGGTGCAGAAAGAATGGAAAGTTCCTAGAAACAAAAAAAAAATGTCCTATGAAAGGTGGTTGAACTTCGAAAGTTTTCTGACTGATTAGTTTGGGTCTGGTTTAACATTTAAAAATGAAAGTAGTCACTGAAGCCACTCAGACTTGATAAATGGAAATAGAAGCAATTGGCTCTTAGACCTAGTCAAAATTACATGACCTTACTCTAACTAAATTTGCTCCTCCGGGAGCATGTCTACATATGCATTTACACCAGCTTAAATTTACTGTGCAGTAAATTACTGCACAGTAAGCAAGAATAGGTGGGCATCTACATGTGCAGGTGATCTGAGACTAACTTTAGTCCTAGGTCACACCAGCCTAGCATGGGCCTCTGTGGCCACTTCGGGGAGCTCCAGCCTCTGGTCATATGCCTGCCAGTACTTGGCAGCCATGTTGAGGCCAGAGGCAGCTGCCATCACTTGGTGGCCATCTTAAAAGCTTGCTGCCCAGCACAGGGGCAGCATGCAATAGCTCCCTGTTTGCCAACCCTGCCTTCCGCACCATGGCTGCCCCTGCCCCTGCCCCTGCCCCTGCCCCTGCCCCTGCCCCTGCCAGAAATGACCTGTGCCCTGCACCCCTGCTGACCATGATGCTGGGCCTGCTGGCCCCAGCAGGGTCCCCCTCCCCAGGCCCCAAGACAGCTGTGTACCTGCCATCTAGGCCCAGGGCACCGGCTGCAGGACACTTTGGCCAAACCCCTCCTCCCACACTCTCTGCTGCAGCCCATCTGCCCCACTGTCCACCCCCACAACCTCCTGCCCACCTCCAGAACCAGTCTAGGACACACGCACAGCTTTATTTCCCAAACAACCCCCACCCCATCCATCCCCCCTCTCCCTCAACAAACAGAGCCCTCCCTCTACCAGCACTGCCCCTCCACCACCCTCCTCACCCACCCACAGTAAAAAACCCATGTCCCAAACTGAAAACTACAGTTAACTGTCCAACTTGCTCCCTGAGTCCTGATGTGGGAGGCTGAAGGGTGGCGTCATCTAGGGCACAGATCCTGGTGGCAGGCAGTTAGCACAATAGTCCTGAACAGTTCCCCTATGGGTCTGAGGGCTGCAGCAACTGTGATAGGTGGCAGGCTCCTGCTGTAGCACAAGTGCCCAGCACTCCTGCAGGGTGGAAGGCACCCCTCCTAGCCACCCAAGTCCAGACCCAGGAGGGCCTGGCGGGGCTATGCCTGGAACCCCCGACTCCTCAGCTGCATAGAGCAGGGGTGAGTGCTGGTGGTCAGCGTCCATGGCTGCCACTGCCCAGCCCTACCTCTCAGCCTGCTACTTGAGAAGTGCGTTGCGGCACTCCTCAAGGGCCTCCATCTGGCCCCAGTGGTCCCACATTGCCTGCTGGAATGCCTCCTACTGGGAAATGTCCTTAACCTGCCACACCATCACTCCCGCTTCTCTCTTGCCTGGTTCTGTACCTGCTCCTATGCCTCCTACTCCTTGGCCACTGCCACCAGCCACTGGAGTAGAATGGTTCAGTCCTGGGTGCACTGTCCCCGGTGCTGGCGCATGTGGTTGGCTCCAGCAGTGGGTGGCAGTGACCCAGACCCCGCATCCCCTCTGGACATGGTGGCCTCTCCCCTGTGTTCAGATATTGACTCTGCAGCAGCATGAGACAGAAGACTTCTGTAAGAGTTTGCAACAAGTCAGAGATAAGATGCTCTGCACCAGGGGCCATGCATTACTGCTGGCATCGACACCTTCCTTAAGGTTTGAGAGCCCCCTGCCCGCTCAGCTGTGGCAATACACACTGCCCAGTAAAGTTCTGAACTATGTCCTGCCTCTCTATGTGCTGTGGGGTGGGGCCCTGGGGCCAGGGGAGTGGGGGCAGAGGCCAGGGTGGGGACTGAGAGTGCTCTCCCCCCAGTGTGGGACTTACCACATGTCCAGGGCTGGTGAAGCTGGTGGTTCGGTGTGGGACTCCCTGTTGGTGAAGGCAAGTGGTCAGTGGGTGGAGCTGGCACTACTGGTGGCCAGCAATGTTGTGGCTGGCTGCTCCTTGTGATGGGGCAGGAAGAGGGCACAGAGCTGGCAAGACAGCTGCTAGCTAGGGCTCCCTGAGCTACTAGTGAGTGCAGCAGCCAGGAAGGTGGGTGGAGCAGGATGCTGAACACATGAGGGCCCCTCCTCCAGCGAGGTATCATGTGCAGAGGGGTCAGGGTGGGGCCAGGGCTCTGCCAGGTGTTCCTGTTGATGAAAACCATAGGGTTGCAGCCTAGGTCCTGGGGCTCCAAGATGTTGATCAGTTCCCACATAAAGGGCACGGTCTTGCAGATATGACTGGACCAACAGTTGTGGTTGGTCATGGCCACCCACTGTGAGTGCCAGGCCTTGACCTTTATGTGGCACTGCCATGTTGACCAGGAGTGGCCTCTCTCATGCATCCCAACATGGGTGGTCAAGCGCCCATCCTGCACTAACTGCCTGTGTACTGCTGCATGCCACCCCCAGAAGTCATGCCTCCTCCTGGGTCCAGTTGGGGATGCAGGTGCTTAGCTAAGGTATGCGCAGGTGGGCGGGGCTGGGCCTTACTGGGGAGGATGTGGGGGACATGGTGGCAGTGCCTCCCATGCTGGATCTCTGAGCCCCCATGCCCCTGTGTGGCTGGCCCTGAACAGCATGCAGGAGTGCTCAGCAGCAGGGCAGGGCCAGGGCCTGGAAGCCACGCAGAAGAAGCAAGTGTGCCCATAGCTGCAAAGACAAGAGACATTGCTGGGGGTGCGCAGGAACAGGGATCTGGTGCTGCCCTCCTGCCACAGCCAGTCAGGCAGAAGCCCTGGGCAGCATTGAGGGCTGGGCAGAGAGAACAGCAGTCTGCAGCCCTTTACAACACTCACCTGTGGCCAAGAAGCTGCTCTACTGGTGAACAGGATGAGCAACAGCACCCTGAGTCCTGTCCAGGGGACACACAGGGCTTGCAGTCCCCCTAGCTCCTGTATACTGTGGCCCAAGGCACAAAATGACTGCAGCTTTTATACCCTGCAGCTGGGAGTTGGCAGAGACCAGACGAGCCCTGGGGAAGGGGAGGGGGCTAGCCAGGAGCCCTGGAGCTGGTTTCTGCTGACCCACTAGTGGCTCAACAGACCCAGAAGGGAGGCCCCTGGGTTACTGCACAGTAAGGCGTCTACACATGTGTTACTGTGTAGTAACTAATTGGGTGTAAATTTGATACCTGCATGATGCAGGTATCAAATTTACACTCAAGTCAGCATAAGTTGCCATATTTAGTGTGCAGTACGGGTGTCCATGTGTAGATGCATGCCCATACTGTGCAGTATTTTTGGTTACTACGCAGTAAATGTGCATGTGTAGATGTGCCCAGCATACTTACATGTTAAAAAGGTGTATTAATATTCAGCTTCCTAAATGGAAATGCTTCAGAGCCAAAATAATCTACTAGCTTTTACAGCATGCTTGGAGACAGAGAGAATGCTAAGAGCGCTAAATACTAATTATGATTAAAATGTTGTACTGAGGACAAGTCTTTCTCGAAAAACAAAAAGGCACAGTGGGGTTCAGTGATTGCTTTCCTGTGACTCCAGATCCAATTTGTTCAGTAAAAAGAGGTGTGTTTTCTGAACAGCCACCTCTGCAAACTCAGTGTGGGATCAGAGTTAAGCCAGGTGCTTTCCATCTTGCATGCCAAATGTTGCTCATGGTTTGGTTCGGGGTTTTTTTTTTTTATTGGGGTTTTTTTTGGATTGTGTTGCTGTGCTGTGTTAATATGAGTATGATCAGCAGAGCTGTGGTTTTATGACAAGAGGAAGCAGATAGGACTCTGAATGGATGGAGGCCATTAGTAAAGATGGATAATGCAGAGAATTCGAGGTTAAATTTCTAGCCTGTGGTATGAAGGAGGATCAGATTAGGAGATAAAAATTAGCCTTTCTGGATTTAAAACTGGAAGTCTTACATCCAGTTCCAGCTTTGAAAACAGAATTTTTCCGTGACTTTTGGTGAGACACTTTATTTCCCCATGCCTCAGCTTCACGTGTAGAAAATGAGGTAGCAGTTTCTCTATCTGTCTTGTTTATTTAGACTCTAAGCTCTACAGGGCTGGGCTTGTGCCCTTCTGTGCATATACACAATAATTACCACTATAGGTCCCTGGTTGTGGTTGGCATCTAGAGGTGGTAATAACTGAGGTGTAATTTTCTCTTCTGATAATAACAGCACTTTAATATTTACAAAATGCTTTGGGATCCTCGGACAAAAAGCAATACATATGTGGACAGTGATATTGCATGTGAGAGGCAAGGATTTATTTGAGTGATACCTGTTATTGGAGCAACTGCATAGCTGGGCTAGAGTTAAACAAGCTTTTCAGTGACAGGCATTCTTCTCCAGGACTGTAATGTTAAAAAAATCCACTATTATTCATTTTATAATAGCACTAAGAGTCCAAGGTCAGATTGTGCTAGGTGCTCCACACACAGCGAAGAAGAACCATTCCTTGTACTGAATAGCATCTAGAGACTAAATGGACAAAAGTTGGGAAAGAATTAGAGATGGGATGACTTGTCAAGCAGGCAAGCAGGTCAGAGCCGAGTCTGGAATCCAGAACTTTTGGGTTCTGGTCCACAAATCTAGTCACTGAAAGAGGCAGCCCAAATAACCTCTCTTTCTATACAAAATGTCCCAGGGTAATAGTGAAAGACAACCATTTCTCATTGGAACAGCGTTTTCAAAATCCAAAAAGCCTCCACACCTGGTTAAATACTGCTGAATAGCAGCTGCACTGTCAAAGTTTGGCCACTGGAGAGATGCTTTTGCGCCTGTTTTGTAGAGCTGACACACTAAACTATGCACTTAATTTCCACTTAATGTGAAGTTCAGAGTACATTAAATAACATTTGATCATTAAAAACGTATTTATGGAAGTTTAATACGTATGTCAGTGATACGTGACTAATAGTTAGTTAAACACATTTGCCAGGATCAATTGGCTTTTGGTTAATTTGTTATTGATGATTGTTAACGTTGACATATTTTTTTTCCATTGGGGGCCTCTCTGCTTTTTCTCTAATGTCTTTTGCTTTGATCATGCAATGGACTGAGTGCAGAAATGCCATCCTGCTGTCCTTATATGGAGCCTTTCTGGTGTCCTCTGAATATAAACAGAAGGGAAAACAGAAGATGCTTCTTAAAAAGAACAGGAGTCACCCTGCATCAACAGATCTACGCAGTTAAGAGTCAGATACGTGGATGAAATACAACACTTTACTCCACCAAGTGTCCTATTGACTTCAGTGGGCTTTGCTAGTGTGTTAGAAGCTACTTAGCATGATAAATGGCATCAAACCGGCTCACAACATCCATTTGGGAAACAGCAACATTTCTCATGGGAAGGCATGCTCAAGTGAACTAATTATTACAAGGTGCACTGGGTCAAAAATGTTCTTGTGGGACTTTTTTCTGGCTCTGTTACCAAATGCTGATGCATCCAAGTCAAAAAGACTCTGAAGGGACGTCCCAATTTCAGCCATCTTGAGTTGAGATTTTTTTCATTCAGCCTGGACTAAAACAGGATGTTTTGATTTTGAATCCTTAACCAGGTTAGGTTCACGTGTGGATGGAAACCAAAATGCAAAATTAAGCCAAAGCATTTGGAAGGAACGAAAACGTGCTTGTTTTCCTCAGAATTTGTTTGCATGGGAAACTTAGAGCCTTTGCTTTTATATATTCCAATTTGGATCCTCACCAAAAATCAAAATATTAAAATCCCCCCTCCCCCAGAACAGCTATTCCATCTTTCACCCCCCTTATTCGTAGGACTGAGTAGAGGAGAACAGTCCCTGTTAATTAACAGTATCCAGAGGAGCTTTCTGCAAAGAGAACTCTGCAAATACTTAACTATCCTATTCAGAGTAACTAGTGACTAAGTCTTCATCAATTATTTAGCTCCAGTATCCAGATTATACAGTCAGTAATATTAATTTAATATAAGTAGTCAGCATGTCTGGCACACTGACAGACATCTGTGCCAGGCAATGCAAATCCTTTTGCCCTCCACTTTCGCTATCTAGAAGTTGCCTTGCTGCCAGACTGCTAGCATTTTGCAGAAGTGTAACAAAGGGTGTAGGACTAGGGTAGCAGCTCCAGGGCTGATTTTGCCTCAGCCACTGCCCCCGTCCCCACTACAGCTGCCACCCAAGGCATACAAGCAGCCTGTCTCCCACCAAATCAATTGGTCAAATCCCTGTTTCCTTCTTTGCCCTTCCTTTTTTTAATTTCCTTGCAATTATTTTTCACTTTTCCCTTCCTTTTGCCTCAGTCGCATCTTCCCAAATCCAGGAGAAAAATAAATTAGGTACCACTGTGGCATGTACATATCAAAATACTCATCCAGCACACAGCCAGGAGGAAGCATTCAGAACAAGGGACTAAATAGCTTCTTAGCATAGATTAGCAGCTGTGGCTATAGCAGCGGGTGGCTGTGACCCACTGTGGAACCCATTTAGATGTCTGACACATCAAAAGGAAATAAGCACCTGAGCGAAATTCGGCATGTTCTTCCATTCGTTAGTGGACAGGGGTGGACAGATGGATTGGAATTCTTGTGCCTCAGTTTCCCTATTCTGTTCGGCAGTGGTTATTCTTTTCGTCTCTTCTCCTGCAACTCTACTGTCTTATCTACCATATTTATATTGTTAATATTCTGGGGTAGGGCCTATGTGCATGGCCAAAGGGGTCTTGATCCCATTTGCAGTCTCTGCATTCTACTACAAAGCCCCGGCTAATTCATAGTAGGCAACATGCAGCACGATGGACTTCCTCTTCAGCTGGAATTTAATGGCATGGGATGCCCTATGCAAATGCATCTGTCTCATGGGCCTAACTGCAGCTAGGGTACAATTAGGAGGTCATAGAAATCGTCACTGATGGCTTCCTGGCTGCCTTTGGAAATTGTTCTGAACATGTAGCTAATAAGTAGGTTTCTTTGATGCCTCTTTGATAGTTAGGGACAGGAGGAGGAAAATCAAGCGGAAGACCCAGCTCAGTATTATTATTCCCTTTCACTCTGTGTAGCAAATGATGCTGAAATGCTCAGCACAATCACTCCCCCTTTTAAGCACAGGTTTTCAGCACCTCTTCTTATGCTAGGGTCTAATTTTGAAGGAGCACTTTGGGATTTTAATAACAGAATTATACACTTTCCCCACAGGTCTTTAATCTCTCGGTGTTTATCCCATCAGTTGCGTCTCTGGTGAGCCTTTATCCTAGGATGTTTGTCTATTAAATTAACAATATTTCTGAAGGGGAGAAGCCATTTACAAGCAGTAAATCACAAGGCAGTGGCATTCATTTAGTTCTCTTACTGTTACATCACTCAGTACATTATACGCTATTCTATATACTCAGTATATCACCAAGTTCTTCATCTTCTCTGCCACCCCCGCCCTCCGCCTCCATGCTGTCTGCAGAAGCACAGACCTCTCGGAGGCAAGCGAATCAAAAGAGAAAGAGACAGATGGATCCATGCAAGCAGATAACTGGGAAGTTTGTGAGTGTTTGCATGGTGCGGCTGCTTGATTTCGGCTGGAGTTGGCTATAAAAAGAATCATATGGTTTGCTTTTCTTGAGCGGCTTTTCTTCTGAGGATTTCAAAGCGCTTTGCACGAAATGACTAATTATGCCCCACAAAACCCCTGTGTTGGAGGGAAGGAATATATAAAGTTCATTCCACCCACCACTGAAATGAAACCATCGCTGGGGTGGGACACAACAGATGCTTAACAATGCAGAGCAACACTACGCAATGGGTTAGAACAAGAAGGGAATAAGTATGTTGCACTTGACTAGAGCTGTATTGGGCAGTTGTGGAGGTGGAATATAATCAGTTGGACTTTTGCCAAGAGAACAGGAATAACAATCCTATCCTCGCAAAAAGTGTCAGAGGACCCTTAATTACTTCAAATAGCGAGGATCTTGACTTGACATTTCGTCCAAAAAAAGGCATCCCCAACAAGCAGCACCCCTCAGAACACAGTAGGGCTTTGGATCAAGGGAAAATATCCCCCTACAGAATCAACCATGTGGAACTTGTCTCCCCCTTTCCCCCGCCTACCCCCGGCTCCCAACCCCAGTGTGCTCCATCCAGCCGCCGAATGAGTTCAGTCTGCTTCGCAGTTCAGATCTGATGTGGCCGTAGCAGGAAGTGGTTGTGGCTGCACATACAGCTGAATGGAAAACCATTTTTTTCCTTCCTGAAAGAAGACTTGGGGTTTCAAAAGAAAAACAAAAAATAATCCCTTCCCAACTGGGGCAAAAACCTTTCTCTTTTTTTCCCCTGAACTGATAATCTGAAAGGTCAATCAAAGAATTTTCTCGCGCTGATTCCTCACATTGCATTTTTTTTTTTACCTTCTCCCCCTCCCCTCTTTTCCTAATAGAAATTAAATATAATTTATACTTTTAAAAGTCTCTTTGACCCCTCTCCCCCCCAACACAGTTAACCAATTCATTTTTGGGGGGTGAATGGCATTGTAACCAATTCCTATTTTTATTGGGTTATTGGTTAAAACTAAGCCTTTCTGTAAACCATTTCAGTTTGGATGTATTTACTTTTTATCTTAAATGCTTTGTCAGAACATTCCCAACCAGCTGTAACTTCATACTACTTTCAGCTCGGCTTATGCCTTCTGCATATTGACTCTTCATTGACATGATTTCATAGATTTCAAAGCCATGAGGGACCATTAAATCACTCTGCCTGACCTTGTCTATAATTAAATTTCACCTAGTTACCCCTGTGTTGAACCTAATAACCTGGGTTAACCTAAATACTTTTCATCCTCAGAAGACTAAACTGCTGTATGCCAGAGGAAGAGGACAAAAGAGACCAACTCGCCACCAATACTTGAGGCTCCTGAAATGGCAGGGAATTGAGTAGATGGGCTGAGAAGGGATGCGATAACAATAGACAACATCCCCTCTGAGAGGCTCCTTCCATATAGTGAGGCCACGTTAGGTAGAAAACACTTCTATTTGCTAAAGCATTAAAAAAAACCCAACCTACAGTGCTTGAACTTTTTGGTTTTGTTCTGATGTGGAGCAAAACTGAGACGTTTCAAACTATTTCATAGGAGAGAGGAAGTGCCCACATCGGGATAGCTTAATTTGTGGAAGATCCAGGTTCAAAGCCATGCCCTTCCTGAACTTGATCTGGACCTCCAAGCTGCCTCGAGCAATGTGTTAACCACCATGTAATAGGCTCTGCCTGTCTCTCTCTCGCTTTCTGAAATTCCACTTGGGGTTTGTGAAACTCTCCTGGTAGAAATGTTGTTGAAACTGGCACGTTTCCAAGAATCATTTCAATGTTGATGGAAACGCTTCTTTCCAAAG